ACCCTTTTATGTAATGGTGTTTACTTTGAATTTATATTAGTTCACACAAACACTCCATCCATGCTTTTGTTCCGGCCCTCCGGTCCAGTTTAAGAACCCATTGTGGCCCTCGAGTCAAAAAGTTTGCCCACCCCTGCTCTAGCCTCATTCAGTATTCAATCTCGATTAATGGGAATAATGGCTTATAGGTTTGGGCTGAGAAGGTTTCTGAGGATCAATCTAGGAACAACAGGAAAAAGGCCTCAGTTAGTGATGCCTGTCATGGACCAGAGAGAACAGAGAGGCATATGTCCCCTCTCTCCTGTCTTAACCTCCCTTCTCCTCCCCTCTCCTCCTCTCCTTCCTCTTCCCTTCTCCTCCCCTCCCCTCCCCTGCCTTCCCCTCCCATCTCCACCCCTCTCCACTCCTCTCTTTCTCCAGTTTCTATTGGCTCTACTTTCAAAACATACCCAGAAATCACTCACTTCTTGCCACATCACTGCTGCCACCTGGTGCAGCCAACATAATGTCTCTTGCTTCTCCCTTACTTTTTCAGCCTCTTCTCACAGGGCCCAGAAGGATCCTGTTAAACCCTAAGTCAACCCTCATCCCTCCTCTGTTCAGCAGCACCTCCATGGCTCCCACCTCATTTAAGATCAAAGCCAAAGTCTTCATAGTGGCCCACAAAACCTGTACGTCTGATCCCCATCTCCTCTGAGGCCTTACCTATTACTTTCCCCTTGTCACTCTGCTCAAGCCCCACTGGCCTCCTACTTGTTCAAATCTCAGGTCTCTGCCTCAGGACCTTTGCACTTGCTTCCCCCAGCCTGGAATCTTCTCCCCTCAAATATTCACACAAATCTCTCACTTCTTTGGCCTCTACACAAATGTCCTCCTGTCAGTGCACCCTTTCCACTAGTTATTTATTTTTAATCCTCACTGGAGGATATATTTATTGATTTTTAGAGAGAGGAAAAAGAGAGAGAAAAACAGTGATGTGAGAGAGAAACATTAATTGGTTGCCTCTGGTATGCGTCCCAACAGGGGACCAAACCAGCAACCCCGGTACATGCCCTGACAGGGAATTGAACCTGCGACCTTTTGGTCGGATGATACTCCAACCAACTGAGCTACACCAGCTGGAGCAGTCTTCCCTGTATTTAAAATGGCAAACCCAGCCCAGCTGGTGTGGCTCAGTGGTTGAGCACTGACCCATGCATCAAGAGGTCACTGATTTGATTCCTGGTCAGGGCACATGTCCGGGTTGCAGGCTCAATCCCCAGTAGGGGGCGTGCAGGAGGCAGCCGATTGATGTTTCACTCTCACATCAATGTTCCTCTCTCTCTCCCTCTCCCCCCCCCCCTCTAAAAATCAAGAAACTATTCTTTTAAAAACACACACAAAGATCTGCTGCCTCCTTGCTGACTTGCAGCTTTCCAGAAGTTCCATGCCTGCATTTGGCTGGGGTCTGGTCTTTAGTGATTAAATTGTCCCTGGCAGGGGGAGGGGGTCTGGGCGGAACAGGCTCTGCAAGGCACAGATGGTCACTCTATCCTTGGGGGGCGGGGGGGCGGGCGGGCAGGGATTAGAGCTGCCCGGATTACATCTCTCCCATGGGACATGTCTTCCCTAGGTGTGCTCCTCTGTCCCCTGGACCTGTCCCCCAACCTGGCTGCCTGGTGGATCTCCTGGGGAGCTTTATAAAACCCAATGCCCAGGCCCACCCCGAGTCAACATTTCCCAAGCTCCTCGGCTGACTCCAACATTTGCCAGCACTGAGGAGCAGTGGTGAGGGCACTGCCTCGGAGTCCGACACAGGTGGGCTCTGCATCTAACTACTTCCATGCTGGGCGACTTTAGGATTATTTGGCGACCTCTCTGAGCCTGTCTCCTCCTCCTTCCACTGGGAATGACGTTCTCGTCACCAGGCTAAAGGGATTAAATCATATAATTTGGCCGAATCGCCTGATAATTAGAGGTCAAAAAAGAATAGCAACTAAAATAATCAGGCTCATACACTCTGATTCGGAACTTAAAAGGAGCGTGCTGAAAAGGCGCTTCTGGAGCAGAGTTCAGCTAACACCCATCCGGCTGAAGTCCCCTCGCAGTGTGACTTGCTTTATATTGTCCACCTTCATGGAAGGTTCTGAAACGAATGCCGTTATTGTTGAAGTGGGCAGTTAACTCGACCTCTGTGTGGGAGAACAGCGGCTCCTGCAGTGTTTGACCCACTGCTCTTTCATGACCCACGACCATGACAGCTAATCAGATCCTCTGCCCCTGGACATGTCCCTGCAGCACTGTCCCGGGGCCACGGGATGGACCGTGAGGAGGCAGGAAAGCAGGACGTTCACCCCATGCAAGCACACACCTTGTGTTACCCACTCTATGTAAGCTTCATGAAGCACAAGTGTATCTGGCCCTTACTGACTACTTCACATTCTGTTGTGAGCGTGTTACATGCATCTCCTCATTCGATCCTTAAAATCCCTCTATGACAGTGGTTCTCAACCTGTGGGTCACCAACCTGTGGGTCACGACCCCTTTGGGGGTCGAACGACCCTTTCACAGGGGTCGCCTAAGACCATCGGAAAACACATATATAATTACATATTGTTTTTGTGATTAATCACTATGCTTTAATTATGTTCAATTTGTAACAATGAAATTGGGGGTCACCACAACATGAGGTACTATATTAAAGGGTCTCGGCACTAGGAAGGTTGAGAACCACTGCTCTATGAGCTCCGTACTATCATTCTCCACTTTACAGGTGGGGGAATTGAGGCACAGAACAGTCGAGTAACTTGGCCAAGCTCACAGCTGGAAAATGGCAGATGCAAGATTTGAACCCAGGCCTGATGGCTTCACAGAGCACATGCTCAAGTACTTCACTGTGCTGTGTCTGTTATCAGTGTGTTAGAACCCGAACATTAAGAATGACTGCGAACACTCTGCAGAGGCAGAAACTGAGGTTCTGGGCCTGAAGCACCATGGCCACCCAGCCAGCAAGTGGCAGAGCTGGGATTTGGTCTTGGTCTGTCTGGCTTCAAAACCTATCTTTGACTGCATGTTCTTGTAGGGTGTGAGCATTAGTCATTCCTTGATTCACTTGCTTATTTCTTCATTCATCTCTCTTTCTACTTAGCAGTTATTGAGTACCTGCTGTGTACCTGGCCTTGTTCTGGGTGCTGGGGAGGCAGGGATGAGACAGGCCCTCTGCCCCCAAGGCCCTCCCAGGTGGTGGGACAGACAAACAAGCAACCTCCCCAGGGTTTGGAGAAGAGAGAAACGGATTCTGTCTGGGAGAGCAACCCAGAGAAGGTAGTTTTTAGTTGGGTATCAAGGGATGAATAGGAGTTCACCAGGAAGAGTGAACTAGGCAGAGAGAATGGCAAGTACAAAGTCATGGCCATGTGAAAGTGTGTGCTCTATTTGAGGACATCAAACAGTTTGGTGTCACAGATAGTAGAATGCATGGGGGTCGATGTGATGGGAAGAAGGCTGCTCAATTGTGCAGATGAGCAATGATGGGGCCCCAACTAGGACAGTGGTGGGGCTGGAGAGGGAGGAGGCATTTAGGTGGGATGAAAGCAGGAAGGGAAGTTGACCCCTGAACTTGCCAAAATGGGCCCTGCCAAAGAGTGGAAGGGGAGATAGAGACTGTGGGGAAGTGGGGCTCACTGCAGGCATGGTGGAGTGAGGGAATGGGGGTGGAGGCATACCCCTCTGACCAGAACCTGGCTGGGAGGTGTGAATCACCTCAGAAATCCCAACCATAGGTGTCAAAGTCATTAAACTCTGCCAAGGGGCTGCAGTAGAGAAAAAAGGCACTGGACTTAGAATCCATGGTACCAGCTATATCACTACCTAGACAAGTGACCTTGGGCAAGTCACTTCCTTCTAAGCCTCAGTTTTCCCTTCTGTAAAATGGGGCCCCAATACCCATATCTTTCAGCCCATGATTAGCAGTCATGGCCTGTCTTTTTTGTCTTTTGGAGATGTTCGGCTGGTCCCTTCCTCTGCACCCTACTTGGGCTGGGTCCTCACTTCAGCTTCCTCCCTAATCTCCTGGCTCTCACGCTCTTGCTTAGCCAATCCACTGGTCACTGGCACCCGTGGCACCCCTCCCCCTCTACTGAGGGAACTTTTGGGAATACATTTCTGACCCTGGCACCCCCCTGCTCAACTTCCATGGCTCCCTATTGCTCCAAGATAAAACACAGGTTCTCAGTGCTCTGGGCCCTGGGCAGGCTGGCCCAGACCTACCCTGCTGCCTCATCACCAGGCAGGAGTTTCATGCTTCAGCCTGAGCACACCTGCCCTTCTCCAAGGAGGCCACACTGTTGTCATGCCTCTGGGCTGCAGCATGAGCTGCTGAGATGCGTGTCCTCACTGTGTCTGGTGAAATTCCCACGATGCAAGTTAACATCTGAGATGAGATCTGAGGGAAGGAACCGGGGAGTCTGGAGGGAGGGGAAAGGAGAGGTGGTGGGATGCTGCCAGCACCTTTGGCTATAAGCAGGGTTCTCATGCAAGCTGGCAGCCAGACCCCAGGGCCTTCGGGGTGGGCAGCAGGCCACCGGGAGGAGGCGAAGTGACCAGACAGGACCCACAGGACAGTTTCCCAAGCCACCAGGAATCTGGAATGTGCAGTCCCATCCCGTCTCATCTGCGGTTGGGGAAACATCCAGCCAAAAACAAACACCCTCATTCCTGGTTAACAGAGATGTCAAGGACCCTCTAACCCAGCGGTTCTCAACCTGTGGGTCGCGACCCCTTTGGTGGTCGAACAACCCTTTCACAGGGGTCGCCTAAGACCATCCTGCATATCAGATATTTACATTACGATTCATAACAGTAGCAACATTGCAGTTATGAAGTAGCAATGAAAATAATTTTATGGTTGGGTCACAACATGAGGAACTGTATTTAAAGGGCCAGAAGGTTGATAACCACTGCTTTAACCCAAACGGGAGGGCCTTGCCCTGAGGGTGGAGCCAGGCCATACCCCTTCTCCAGCAGGCCCACCTAGATCATGCTGTGTGACTCCCAGTCAGTCGCTACCCCTCTCTGTGCTACTGAATCTGTTGCCTCCTACTTAGGGGAGAGACGACCCCACAGAGAGGTCTCCACACACTAAGGACTTCTACTTCAGGTTCTTTTTAGAGGCTATGTTCAAGGTGCTGGAAACATCCGAAGAGGAAACCCTCTGGAAGCAAACAGGTCCCCTGGCAGGCCTTGCCTCTTTTAGGAGCGTTATTCAAAGACACCTCGCAATTGCCAACGGCCAAAAATGGCTTTTTGCAGAAGAAGTGGGCGCTCCTAAGAACTCAGACGTGCAGTTCTCATCTCAGGGGAATGCCTTCTTCTGTCTCTCCCCTGCCTACATCCCTCCCAGAATGGATGCTCATTTCAAGAAGCTCCTAGTTCAGCTGGAACTGGCTTCCCTGTAATTCTCTCTCCCCTGTCCCTATAGGTCTGCCCCTCACCCCACCCCTCTGCTTCCTCATCCTTGGAGACAGCCTTGCAGAAGCCTCGAGTCAGAAATCAGCCCCCTGCTGCTGCCTTGCTCCTGGGTAAGTGGTCCCATCTTTCCTCCCCTCTTTCTGGAGATCCTATTGGTACCCCAATCTGGCCAGGAAAGTTGCAGGGAGGCGGGGGGTACAGCAAGAAATAAGCATGTTTAGCCCCAGCCAGTGTGGCTCAGTTGGTTAAGCATCGTCCTGTGCACCGAAAAGTCCAATCCTGGTCAGGGCACATACCCAGGATACAGGTTCAATCCCCAGTCAGGGTACATGTAGGGGGCAGCTGATTGATGTTTCTCTTTCACATAAATGTTTCTCTCTCCTTCTCCCTCTCCCTTCTGCTCTCTAAAAAAATCAATAAAACAGATTTAAAAAAGAAATAAGCATGTTTAAGGGAGCAGCTTTGAGCCCTACAGATGTGGGTTCCTAATCCCAACTGTGTCACGTTCTGGGTGTGTTGCTGTGGGCAGATGTCTCAAATTCCCTGAGCCTCAGTTCACTCATCTGTTGGATGGGAGCAATGAAAGCATCTAGCTCACAGGGCCAATGTGAGGATTAAATAAGAGGTGGAAAACTTTTCTGTGGCTCCCCTGCATATGGGGCTCTTCACCACCCCATCTCCACCTCCTCCCCAACCCCTGCCCTCGCACCTGCAGTCAGCCCCTTTCTCCCATCATGCTATGCTTTTTCCAGCCACCGCGCCTTTGTATGTGCTGTTTCCCCTGAGTGGTATGCTCTTCCCCTTCTCGGCCTGGCCACCCCTCCCTTTCCCTTAGAGGGCTTCACTCAAGAGCCTTCCTTTCCTCCCTCTCAGGCAGAACAAATCTCCCCCTCTCCTGGTCCCCGACAATCTCCACACTGGAGAGGTCTGAGGCAGGATAACTGGGATCTGGCGCTTGATAGTAGTCCTATGTCCAGATTATATGACTCTGAATGAGATACTTTTGCTTCCTGAGCCTCATTTTGCCTCATCTGAGAAATGGGAACAAGAACCAAGTTCTTGTTCTGTGCTCTTTCACGTCCTATGACCCACAGAGGCGACTCTGGTGTGCAGGTACAGCTTTGCAATATGTGCATTTCGGGCCTAAGCTTCAGGGCCCAAGCAGTGGGGTTACGTAAGTTCCGAAACTTATTTTTCACTGCAATTATGACAAACTCCTGGAGCCCTGGGTGAATGGGCCCTGGCCCCCACTCTTGCTTCTGTGCTTGTTGGGACACACACCAGAATGAATTTAATTACCATCTTGGGCCTCCTTCCAGGTGGGCTCTGCCAGGGCACCTCCCTCTGGATTTCATTAAGTCTCCTGTCAACATCGCCCCACTCAGTGCTGCTGCCCAAGGAGCCACAGGAGGACCGGGCGCCTGCCCCAGCCCCGCGTGATGGGTTTTGTTTACCCGCTTCTTCCCACAGATTCTTCCTTAATAACCTTGGAGCCAGGAGGCTCCCTGGCAGGAGGCGGGAGACAGGGTCTGGGTGGAGGCACTGAGGCAGCTCCCTGATGGCGTGGGAAAGTCAGGACAGTCCTGCTAGAGAGAAGCTAGGTTTTTAAGGAATAGATGGAAAACTCAGTTGGCTCCAGGGGGTCTGAATTTTGGGAAGGAGCTAAGGGGTTCTGGAAGCTGTGCTCACTCTTTTCATTAGGAATCCACAAAGGAGCTACTGAACACTGATGTAGGCTGAGCCCTGATCATGGTCTCAGACTGACTACTCATCCCAGTCATAGCCTGGCTATAAACTGAGCCCTGATCCTGACCATAACCTGAGCCCTGACTCTGCTCACAGATTGAGCTCTGGCTCTGGCTCTGGTTCCAGACTGAGCCCTAATCTTAACTTTAGCCCAAGGTCTGAATTTGTTCCCAAACTCAGCCCTAGTTCTATTCATACACTTACCTCTAATTTCAGTCTAAGACTAAGCCCTGACTCTAGTTATAGCCCAGGCTCTGACCCTGAAAACAGACTGAGCCCTGATCTTAGTTCCAGGCTGAGCCCAAATCCAGGTCATAACCTGGGCCTTGACTCTGGTCACAGACTGAGTCCTACTTCAGGCCATAGAGGGAGCACTGGCCTTAACCATAGACTAATCGACAAGGCTGACTCATGGAATAAACTAAGCCCTGATCCTGACTGTGTACCCAAACTTGTTTTTAGTCCTTGTCTGAGCCCAAACCTTACCCCAGCTGAATCCTAACCTAAGTTATAGACTGAGGCCTGAGCTTTGACCCTGATCCCTGGATGACCTCTAACTCTAGCTTCTAACTGAGCCCTGACCCTCATTACAGACTGAACCCTAATTCCAGCTCTAGGCTGAGCTCTAATCCTGGATGCTGCCAGGCCACATAGCAAGTTCTCAGATTCCATTTTCCCAAGACTACCCCTTTCAGAGTATAAGCTTGTCCCCTAGCAAGAAATCAAGGCAGCCCATTAGTGCTCATTCCTCAGTCAAGAAAGAGATGTCTGTGAAGGAATGAATCATGGAACTGGGTTTGAGAAGCAGGAGACAGAGGAAACTAGAGACTGTTCTTTCCAGTCGAGAAACTGAGCTGAGCAGGTGGTTCCCCTGGAGGAACAGGAGGGGAGAGAGAAAATACAGTGTTGAGGACAGGGGAGCAGATGGCTCCAGGCTTCCCCTCTATGGACAGTGGCAGGGAGCCTTTCACTGTGCCCTATCGAGAATCATTTATTCTTTCATTGATTCATTCACTCAGTAAACACTACAAAATACCACCCATGAGTCTGGCCTTCATCCATTCCACCACGCATTCAGTCAGCATACTAGTATATTATGTGCAGTAGAGCCCACATTCTGTTTGGTGGGTGTTTCCAGGGTTATAAACTACCCTATTCCTCTCCCTTATACCAGTACTCCTGCTGTAGGTTCCCAGGGCATTGAGAAATGAGTCTTAGAGTCAAAGAGGCATGGCAAGTCACCACTCCTCTCAGAGCCTCAGTTTCCCCTTCTATTAAATGGCATTTGGCCCAGCCAGCGTGGCTCAGTAGTTGAGTGTCAACCTATGAACCAGGAGGTCATGGTTCAATTCCCAGACAGGGCACATGCCCAGGTTGTGGGCTCGATCCCCAATGTAGGGCATTCAGGAGGCAGCCAATCAATGATTCTCTCTCATCATTGATGCTTCTCTCTCTCCCTCTCCCTTTCTCTCTGAAATCAATAAAAATATTTTTTAAAAAGTAAATGTGAAGACATTAGAGCAAACACCTCTGTGTTGATGAGGGAGTCCTTGGGGTGTTCTTTCCTCATATGAACTATAAATTGGGGAGGAGGATGAGCCCCATCTTGATCTCTTGATGCCATCAGCGGGCACTGAGCCCCTCGATGGGCCCAGCCATATTTAATGGCCCAAGTGTAGGGATGCTTCCGGCCCCGGCTGCCCTTCCCAGCTTTACGGGGGGCAGGACAGGCACATAGAGCTCTGAGCAACATGGGCCTCAATGCCTCCTTCCAGTAAATGGGTCGCTCCAGGCAAAGCATATGTGAGGTTACATCCCCACAGGGAAAAAATAACTCAGGGATGAGCAGAGTTGATTTATGGGCCTGGCTGTGGGAAGAGAAAGATACACGCCCAGCTGTGGAGCTCCTGAGAGGGCTTCTGGGGGAGGCAGAAGCGGCAAAGATGCTGAAGGGAGTGAGGGTCCCAGGGTCCAGGAGCCAGCTCAGCATGGGCCAGAGTCAGAAGCCAGTGATGTAAACACCAGGGCCCATGGCTTCAACTCCCCCCAGTCCTGGTCATGCACACCCCCTCCTATCCCTCCACAATGCCCTGCACCTGTGATGCAATAATGCTCAACCAGTGACCCTGCCCCTGCCACTAAAAGCCACCCGAGTTCGCTGCTCTGTGACTTTGCAGTCATACCCGAAGCCCAGAATATCTTTCTTCTTCTCAACAGACTTCCTGCAGCCTTAGTTCAAATGTCCTCACCTCTGGGGACCCTGTCCAGTGTCAAGTCCCTCTTGAGATTTTAAAAACTGTAATGTAGTTTTTTAATTTTTATATTTTGGCAATTGTGTTGATGGGCTCTGTGGCTATAGATAGGATCTGACTCAGAGCCTGGCTCTCATTCAAGTTTCCTGAATGGATGAATGAGTCGAGTGGGTGGTAGGTGGTGGGTGTAGGGCAGCATGTCTTCTCCAGGGACAGCAGAGCCTCCAGAGGCAGTGACCTTTGCTCTCATATCTTGCTGACATGCCATGTGTTACCCAAAAATGCCTGGAACCCAGTCCCCAGGACCCAGAGTGTAGCTGGCCCTTCTGATGACTCCTGTCCTTCAGTGCCAGGGGGCCTGGGATCTGCTCCCTGCTTAGGCTACATTGGGTCACCTCTGGGTGTCCTGCTCTAGCTGAGCAGGCATTGGGGAAATCACACCTCACACCCTGGCATCCTCTGGTCCATGGGCACCAGAACAACATCTGCTGAGCCCAGGCTGCAGGGCTCTGAAGGTGGCTCTGAGGGCCTAACCCCAGCTTCACATGGCTCCCCTCAGCCCTGTACTCCCAAGCTTGTCCTGGGACCCCAGGTGGATCGAGTGACCTCTCTAGACTCACATCTGCTTCGCTCACACTTCTGCATGACCTGGCTCACATGGGGCTCCCTAACTTTGTCTCTTTCCATTGCCCCATCGGCCTAGGATACATCCAGTTAGTTCTCACCCCAAGGCCTTTGCACTGGCTGTTCCTTCTGCCTGGAATGCTCTTCCCCCAGATCTTGGTGTCTCCCCTTCTTTGTGTCTCAACCCAAAGGTCACCTCCTCAAAGGGGCCTTTGCTGACCATCCCAGGAGGCACGAGGTCAGCCCGGCACTGCTGTACCTCCACTCGCTGGGTGGTTTCAAAGCCTGTTGGGGGGCATTTCTCTTTTGGGCCCAGAGTCTCACACCGGAACATATGGGGAGCCCAGGACACTGGACTGTAGGATTCTAGACCCTCCATCTGCTGTGAGCTGCTGGTTAAACCTGGTAATGAGAGGCCCTGGCTAGTTTTCTCAGTGGTTAGAGTGTCGGCCTGTTGACTGAAGGGTTGTGGGTTCAATTTCTGGTCT